AAGGAGAATTACAAATTTGATCTAGGTGTTGTTAATATAATAATAATAATAATATTAAAAATTTATAGTGCGCAAATTCCATAAAATGTTCAAATGCGCATTACAAGATTAAAAATTATCATTAAAATAGACTTACAATAATTTTAAGAAACGAGATAAAAAAAAAAAAAAAAAAAAAAAAAAGCTATAGAAATGCACCACGAAAAAAAGGTGAGTCTTCAGTTTAGCTTTAAAAATATTTACTGTTCTTGCGCTCCTAATATCCAGCGGTAGTTCGTTCCATAGTTTCGGAGCAGCACAGGTAAAAGAACGGTCCCCAGTGTAGCTTTCGATTTAAATGATGGATGGCTAAGTAAAAGCTTATCACTGGAATTTCTTAAATTATATTTGGGGGGGTCTAAGGGAAATAAGAGAGGATAGATAAGAAGGGGCTAAAAATTAAGAATCTTAAAAGTAATTAACAATATTTTAAACTCAATTCTATATCTAATTGGTAACCAGTGTAACTTAAAAATTAAGGGCGTAATATGACAAAATCTCTGTTCTTTAAGAATCAATCTGGCACAAGCATTCTGTACTCGTTGCAGCTTATTCAACAAGCAGTCCGGTAGTCCATATAATAGGCCATTGCAATAGTCCAGGCGGCTCGTTATAAATGCATGGACAAGAGTTTCCGTTGACTGCTGTGAAAGGTACTTTCTGATCCGACGAATATTATAAATGTAGTAAAATGAAGAGGCACAAATTTTCGTGATGTGTGTTGCCATGGAGAGCCTTGAATCAAACCAGGAACCAAGATTTCTCGCAATTGGCACGGGATGTATGTCTGAGTCGCCCACACGTATACTGATATTGTCGAGCTTTCCCAGCTGTTGTGATGTGCCAATGATAAGGAATTCAGTCTTGTCGTCATTTAATTTAAGATCATTATTCAACATCCAAAGACGAATGTCTCTGATGCAGTCCTCCATACTCCTCACTACAGCAAGTTGCTCAGCTCTGTCGTTGGGACTGAATGAGATGTAAACTTGAGAGTCGTCAGCGTAACAATGAATCGTGGGCAAATGATATTCAATGATCTCAAAAGCTTGCTCGTATACAACGAAAACAATAACGGACCCAGACAGGAACCTTGAGGCACACCGCATTCTAATTTAAAAGGTTCCGACAGCGAATCGTTAATCATTATCCGTTGAGTTCTACCAGACAAATAGGACGTAAACCAGGAGAGGGCTTTCCCATGTATACCAAATGATGACTCAAGTCGACGTAGCATGGTGTCGTGATCAACTGTGTCAAAGGCAGCACTTAAATCGAGCAGAATAAGCAGAGTAACACGTTGACTGTTCATGTTAAGGAGAATATCATTCATAACCTTAAGGAGTGCAGTTTCTGTGCTGTGGTTCTGTCGATAGGCGGATTGAAACACTGGGAACAGATTGTTGCCATTCAGATAATGCTGTAGCTGCTTGGCAACAACAGTCTCAACCAGCTTTGAGATAAATGCCAAATTACTCACGGGTCTGTAGTTCTTAAAAACAAGAGGTAATCCATCCTTCTTCAACAGCGGCCTTACTAGAGCACTTTTCCAGGTGCGTGGAAAATAACCAGAATCAAGCGAAAGATTTATTATTTTCGTGATCGGAGGTAGTAGCACATCGGCGAAGTCCGTAAGAAGTTTGGTTGGAATAGGATCAAGAAGACAAGATTTCTTTGATGAAGCTTTGATTAAATCAAAACCTCTGATTCGGACAGGAGAGTAAATTCTGAAAAACAGGAAGCAGTCACAGTACTGGCAGCGTCGATGGTGACAGGAAGGCGGCTCTGGTTTGCAATAACAGACTTGATATCAGCAATTTTTTGAGCAAAGAATTTTCCAAAATCATTAGCCAACTGATAATCATTAGTCGACAGTGGGAGGCCAGGACCATTTGATAAATTCAGCAGGGACTTACTTGCTCTAAATAACCTTCTCTGGTCCGTGCTGTTCTCAGTTATGAAGTTTGTATAGTATGCACAACGAGCCTCGTTACTCAAAAACGTCACTCGATTTCTCATTGCGCGATAGGATAGTAAATCGATGTGTGCTTTAGAAGCCCTCCATTTCCTTTCAGCTTTCCTCCGTTGACGTTTAGCCAATATAATTTCATCATTCATCCATGGAACACGAGATCTAATAGTAACATTCTTTTTTGTTAACAGGAGCGTGCCGATCCAGCAGGGAACGCAATGTGTTGTTGAGTAAGGCGGCCAGCTCGTCAGGATCTTCAGTATCCGTTTGAAGAAGCTCGCTGTTACAGATTTCATCCGCAAAAGCAGACTTATCAATTGATCGCAACTTCCTAAATGAGACACGCCCAACTTTGAGAGGTGGTCGAGGTGTTTTCAATTTGAAAAGTAACGCTAGATGATCCGAAAATAGAATGTCAGGCGCTGGTCGACCGCTAATAAGGTTGTCTGACTTTCGAGTAATTACCAGATCTAGTGTATGACCAAGTTCATGCGTTGGTTCTGTCACATGTTGAGTTAAAGACATTGACTCCAATAAATCCAAAAAGCGACAAGCAGCTGAATCATTGTGATCATCAACATGGATGTTAAAATCGCCAGTTAAACACAGGACATCGTTAGATAGGATAACAGATTCAAGGTACTCAGAAAATTCGTCAATAAAACTGTTCACAGTCACAGGATGATTAACAGAGTACGGCGGTCGATAGATGATTGCCAATCGAAAGCGTAGGGAGCCAGTGCAGACAAGGTATTCAGAAGATTCAAAGGAAATCCTTGAAACAGTTTCGAGCTTGGAAACATTGATGTTATCTCTGAACAAGAGGGCCGTACCTCCACCTCTACGATCACCCCTAGGGCAGTGTAACAGTTTATAGCCAGCAGGAGTTATCTCGTAGCACACAGCGGAGTCGTTGTCTGATAACCAAGTTTCAGTTATTGCAACTAGGTCGGCTTTGCATTCGCTGACATAATCAACAAACAGTGCAGATTTGTTTGAAATAGAGCGAGCATTTAACGTGCACATGGTCAGCTGAGTGTTCGATGTACTCAAATGGAGATCAGATACGCGGTTTACCTGCACAACGTTGGAGCGGTGGCTATGATGATGGCTTCGATGTTTAACTGCTCGACGATTTGTTGTAAAAGACGTAATTAGTGGACCAGGGTTCGGGCTGATGTCGCCACTCGTTGTTAAGCGAAGACGCGTTAGGTTAAAGGAGGAAACGGAGTTCGGGTATGAGATATCCGAGCAGTGAAGTAGCGATGCGATCTTGTTGAAGATGAAAATCCAAGATGGCGGAACAAACGCATCGACGACGAGCAACTTGCACGGTATAAATCCACTTCATTAGTGGTCTTTGTAACTCCAGAATCATCAAGGGCATAAGATGGACAGAAAATGAGCGTATTTAGATAAATTAAAGAGCGACTTAAACAACAGAACAGATATAGATAAGTGACTATGGCGGAGCCGAGAAAATTACGACTGACCGCCATTTCGCCGCTGACCACACACTTGTTCTAGGTGTTGTTTTGGATTTGACAGGAAAATCTGGTAAAAATCAGGTATCTGCAGAGGAAACAGAACCTATTTCCTGTCCCATTTCTAGTTATTCACAGAAAGTTTTTTTTTACCCTTTACACCCTAACATCAGTATGCATATTCTCCATACTGTTCTCTACACATTTCCTTATGGTGCTGACAAGGAGAATTTGTTTAACAGCCAAGAACTTTTTTGTTTGATGACCATTTCCTATATTCTAGTAATGTGTGATTCAGGGGTGATATTGGCAGGAGAAATTAGATTCTAGGCACCCTTAGGGGTTATAGGGTTAACAGAAATTACTTTCAGTCTCTCCACAGTGGTGATGACTTGCAGATGTTGGTAATTATCTCCTTGTCTTGCTTTGCATAATCAACTTCTTGCCACACATTATTTCAAATTGAAAAACATGAAACTTTATTTTATTAAAGATAGCACAAAAAGTACACTTCTACCGGGTAACAATGCCTTAGATGCCTTCAGTTTTGAAGGTTGTATTAACTTAGTTCGATTAATGACTTTCAAAGCTACTTTTTTGCTGAATTTATTCAAAGGCCGATAGATTACTGTCATTGTAATTCGCATCTCATGGAAACATCTGAAAAGCACTATTTGAAATGCTGCATTGTTAACTTAAGTATTATCAATGACATGTTCTTGTTCCTTCTCACGAAAACTTTGGAGATCAGCCTAAAGTGAGAAAGCACGGTAAATTGAATGATTTCCTACAAAAAAAAATTAATCTAAATCCAAACAAGCTGTAATGTTTCGAACAAGCTTCCAATAAAATGAGCAATCAGCAACCCAACTTTTGATGCTTTTTCTACTTGTTCTACTCAATGAAACTGACAAAGTTTCCGACACCCAATTTCTCTCTGTAAGTTTATATTTCTTCCTAGGTCATAAAGACTTAAGAGAATATTTTTGTAAACAAAGTGAATATAAAGAACTGACGGACTATAATTGACTCAGCCGTGACTAAATTACTTTCAATTATCTAATCATTTTATTGACCTAAGGATATTGAAAGTAGCCGATAACACTTGTACTTTATCAACTGACTAGTGAACTGGGTCTTTCCGTAAATGGCCAAAATAATAAAATACCAAGTTTTTCGGAAACGAGCGGTAAAGGCGGCTAATTAATGCACTGGGCCCAGTTGTTCAAAGGCCGATTAGCTCTAACCCAGGGTCAAATTTTAATTCAGGTTTCTTTATTTCTTTGTTCTAAAGTTTTTTCGGGAAAATTTTCACTAATCTTTTTAGAACATCCAATGATCGAATTGCAAGCAAAAATATTTGACCTGAATTTTCTCTTAAAGCTTTGAGACCTGAACTCAAATTTCACACTAACCCTGAGTTACCTTAACATAGCTTTGAACAACCCGGGCTAAACAAACCTTTGTGACAGTTAAGAGATTTAAGGGTTCATTAATTCCTACAATCAATTTTGCTTGCATTCGGATCTATCTCGATCGCGTGTCCGATCTGAGCTACGCCTGTCCCTGTCAGATGCTCTGGTTCTGCTGGTATCGGCGTCGCGGTCTTTGTCTCTGCCGCTGCTGTCTCGGGTATTGTGGCGGTCTCCATAGCGAGATCCTGAAGTTCTGTCAGATGGTCTCCCTCCACTTCTTTTGTCCTCTTCTTCTAAGACTGGGGTGCTGCTCCTCAGCTGGGCGGCATAGTCGGGTTCAGACTCTGTGGAGACTTTAGTGGAGGCCTCCACGGTCTCGCCAACGTGATCTCGAGGTTCACTGGTCCTGCCACTTCGTTTGCCGTGTGGGATCTCCTTACCAAGAAGCTCACCAAACTGAGAGTGCTCTGAGTCGCTCCTGCTGAAGTCGATTGACCTTGAGACGTCCCCGTTAGGAAGACTGCTTTCACTCGTCGAGCGGTATAGCCCAACAGGTCTGTTCATCAACCCTTCTTGATAGGATAGCATTAAACTATGCTGACGGTGCTTTCGTCGCTTGTCTACGTCCATGATCAAAGTTGTGGAAGCCTGATCGCTGGGAACAGATGTAGCCAGCTGTTCTCGTAAATCCTGGACCTGCTTATCATATTTCTTGATGAGGTCGTCTTTGTCCTTAAGCTTCTTATTCAGGATGTCTTGTTCAGCTTCAACCTCAGCAATCTTTACCTTGCTAAAGTTCATTTCTTCAACAAGTCTGTTGTCAAGCTTGTTTTTGTCGTCAGTCAAGGTCTTAATGTATTCTTTCTGGGTTTCATTCTGTTTCTGGAGGTCGCCGAGAGCAGATTTTCCAACCTCCATTTCTTCCTTAAGACGTTCCAATTTCATTTCTACTTCGAGCTTCTCTTGCTGTAGTTTTTCAATTTTATCGTCTTTCTCCTGGACCTCCTTTCTGAGCGTATCGCTTTGATCTCCCACAAACTTCGTAATTTGCACAGAAAGCTGCTTAGAGCTGTCATCGAACTCGTTTAGTTGTTTCTTTAACTCTGCCACTTGGTTTTTGTACTCGGTTATGTCTTGCTTGGCTTGGTTCAGATCGTTTTGTAACTTGTTGTTTCTGTCGTTAAGTTTTTTCTTCTCCATAAGCAGTTCATCATTTCCTGATTCACCACTTCCTCCTTGTTTTTCTAACTGATCTTGCAGTTCTTGGATCTCTCTCTCAAGCTCGTCAATCTTGTTACCATCCCTCTTGGTATCGTGTTCCAGCTGGGACAACCTGGTATGGAGGAAGTTGTTCTCGTCTTTCAGATTATTGATCTTCTCTTCCAGATCGTCATTCTCTTCTCTCAGCATAGAGTATTCTTTAGTACCTTTCTGTATTTCGCGCTCTAGCTGTGCAACTTTCTCTGACAATTCCTTGATTCTCTTTTCCTTTTCATTGTGGAGATCTCGCGAAGGCCTTCTTTCAATTGTAACTTTGGTGCTCCTCTTCAAATCGCGCTCCAAGTCGGCTTTCTCCTTAGCTAATTTTTGCAGCTGTGCTTCCAAATCTTTAACTTCAGTGTGCACCTCTCTCAACTCCGACTCAAGTTTGTCTTTATCATCCAACAGAACTCTGTTCTCGTTACACTGATCATCATAGTTTTGGTTCACCAGGTTAAGCTCGTGGCGTAGATGATCGACGTCTGCATCCAGCTTCTTTATGTCTGCATCATTTTCTTTAAGTCTTCTTCTGGCTTCCGTTAGGTCCTCTTGAATTTGCTCGTTCTTGCTCTGCTTGTCTTCTAGTTCATTCTGCAGCATTTTAACTTGATCCTCAGCCGCTTCTAACTCGATTTGCAATTTGTCTTTGTCTCTCTTTATCCCGTCTACGTCATCGTCAAACATCATGGGCGGGGCACTTTCTACTGCTTGCACTGTCTGAACCTGAATAATGTCATCAGCTGGTCTGTTCAAACTGTCTTTCAGATCAGCGTTCTCACTTTGAGCCTGTATCAAATCACTGCGCATTTTCTCGTTGTCGTCGTTTGCCATCTTACGACCTAATTCTGCCTCGTGAAGCTTGAGCTCTAACTGCTGTATATCTAGTTTTAGCTCCTTATTCTCCGCCATCAATCTTCGATTTTCGGCTCTAACGTCTTTCAGCTCGTCGCGTAGCTCCCGAATGTCTTTTTCCAGTTCTTCTTTGTCCTCGGTCAACGTGTTTACTTGATACTGAAGTTCGCTATTCTCTTTGACGAGCTTGTTGTAGGATCCTTGTTGATCCCAAGTGCCTTTCTTCAGCTGTCTAATCTCGTCTTTTAGCTTGTCGTTCATGTTGTTCACTTCAGTTACCATCTTTTCTTGTTGAGCTACTTTTGTCTTGAGAATGTCCATGTCGTGCTCTACGGTCCAAAGTTTGCTTTTAAGCCTTTTAGCTTCCTTCTCTACATCTGCCTTCTCATCTAAAGCCTTTTGAAGTGCTTCAAGGTCTCCTTTAACGTTTATATCAATCGAGTTTAGAGGTATAGTGTCAGTCATGTCCTGGTTCTCGAGCTCCTCCTCCAACTCAGCAATTCTCTTGTCACGATCAGCAAGTTCGTCTTTCAGATCTGCGATTTCGTGCTCCTGGCTTGCGTTCGTCTTTTCGAGTCTCGTGATTTGTCCTTTAGCTCTTTTAAGTTCTTGTTCTAGAGGCGAGAAATTATCCTGACGCCACTTCAACATCTTATCTTTGTCTTCCTTATGTCTGTCCCTTGATGTTTGTAGCTTGTTTTTCAGTTCTGCTTCGCCGTTTCTTAATCTATGCAGTTCATCGTCCAAAACATCCTTTTCCCTCTTTTGCTCGTTCAGTTCAGCCTCTAACCTCGCCATCTTGGTGCGATAAGCGGTCATATCACTTTTTGCTCTCTCCTTCTCACGCACGGCATCTTGGCAGCTTGCTTCCAAATCTTGATACTTTTTCCTGCTCACGACATCTTGGTTCTGTTTGGGAACGTCCACTGTGCTCAGTTGATTTTGCAGGGCTTGAAACTTCATCTTTAGCAGAGAAAGGTCATTTTCTGCTTTTTTCTTCTCATATTTAAGCTTCTCGTCAATGACCTTTAAATCTGAGTTTCGCCTCTCCAGATCAGCACAAACTTTTTTAAGTTTCTCTTTTTCATCCTCCAATTTTGCAATTTTATCTTCCAAGCGCTTGATCTCACTGTCTTTTGACACCAGTTGGCGTTGCAGATCTTCAACATCCCTTTGAGCTCTTTGATAATTTTTCTTCATTTCCTTGAGGGTAGCTTGCAGGTTTATAACCTCGTCCTTAAGACGGTCTCGCTCTTCACGTAATGTATCGGACGGACCTGACGCTTGTGAAATCTTGACATCCTTCTCTCGGAGTTCTAACTCGAGTTTCATCTTTTCGTTGCTGATATCCTGGTATTTTTTACGGTATTCCGCAAGCTTATTTCTAAGGTCCTGTAGGTGTGCATCGCTAGCTCCAGATTTAGGAACAACTGCAGAGCTCTTAGCTGAGAGCTCTTTCCTCAACTGCTCTATGATTGCTTGGAGATCACTGATCCTACCTTCAAGTATCCTCTTTTCGTCATTGGCGGCTTTTAGGCTGACATTAGCTTCCTTTAGTTGACTGCGCAAGGCCTCAATCTCTTTCTTTGCCGCTTTGAGTTTATCCCTGTAGTCATCCACTTCACGTTGTGCTTCCTCCAGAGCTTTATCCCTCATCTCAATCTCAACTTCCAGCCCGTTGGCCTTCATTTTGTACTCCTCCCGCTGATGCTCTGTATCATGCAACTTCGCTTCCATGTCTTCCAACAGGGCTTGAAGTTTGGCAAGGTTGTCCTGTGCGATACGAAGCTCCTTTTGTAGCTTTGTATTCTCTCTGTCCTTAACGTCAACGTCTTCCCTTAACTCCTCGATAACTTGCTTCAAGCGATCAGAGTCTTTGTCTCCGCTCTCTAGAATAGCGTAAAGCTCGTTTATTTTGCGTTGTTTTTCAATAACGTCGTCATTTTTGTCTAGAAGGTCTTTCTGGGCCGCGTCCAATTGCCGCTGTAGTGCTCTCAGTTTGGCAACTCCAGCCGCTTGCTGTGCCTCGGCAGTACTTAACTTGGTCTGTGCATCGTGCAGTTCGTCTTTTAACAGCTCGAGTTCGCGTTCAGCAGATTGATATTTGTCGTTGACTAAATTGAGCTCGTCAATAGCCTCTGGTAACTTCTTCTCAAGTTCCTTTACACGATTTTCTGAATATGTAAGGTTGGACTCGAGGCGGTGGTTTTTACCTTCAGAATCTCCCAGCTTGTTTTTGTAATCATTTAGTTGCTCACATAAAACATCGTATTCCATTTCACCCCTTTTTAGCTTTTCCTTGAGATCCGCATTTTCGTCTTCAAGGTCAGTTAAAGCATCTGGATCTGAACCGAAATCAAATCCTGGGGCTGCTGCGTATGTTGTTTCAACGTTGCTGACTTGCATAGGCGCAATATTGATGACATCTTGCTTCTCTGCCAGTTTAACATGGAGATCTGCATTCTCATCTTCAAGCCTGTTTTTTTCATCTCTCAGCTCCTCTAAGTCTTTTTCGTCTCGCTGAAGTTCCAGGTTTAATACCTCGATTTTATCCTCCAGGTCCTCGATCTTCTTACGGTTTATTTCGATTTCGTTCATCAGTTGTCTTTTTTCTGCTTCCAGTTCGTCGTTGTCTCTTTCAAGTTCCTTTCTTATGTTCTGGGACTCAGACAACTGATTTTCCAGATCGTCCACTTTCGACGTCGCTATCCTACAGTCTTCCAAAGCACGATCTCTCTCTCCTTGCATGCGGGTTAAGTTCTTCTTTAAATCCGTCAGTGTTGTTCGTCGAAGGTCATTCAGTTCCTGAAGCGCCTTTGCCCTCTCCTCTTTCAAAGACTCGCATGTATTTTGGCTTGACTTTAAACTAGACTCCAAGAATTCGATCCTTTTTTCTAAATCAGTTTTTTTCACTTGCAGTCTTCCAACATGGGCATTTCGTTCCTCCTTTTCTTTGTCATGAACATCAAGGGCAAGGCGGAGATGTACATGATCTTCATCAATGGCGAGCAGTTTTTCTTGTGTCTCTTCTAGACGACGGTGGGCCTGGTCTAGCTGACTTTGTAGAGATGAAATTTCATTTGCATCTGCTACGGACTTGGTTTCCAAAACTGTTATCTGTGTTCGAGCCTCCATCAGCTCCTTCTTGGCATCTTCCTTCTCGCGACTGCTTCTGTCTAACATTTTTCTGAGATCATCTTGCTTCCTCTGCAGTGTACTCATATTGTGCTGAATCTCAATTACTTTCTCTTGAGCTTTCTTAGCGTCTGCTTCTGCTTTAGGAAGACGGTTCTCAAGGGGCTGAAGCTGTTCTTTCAACTGATCTTCCCGAGCCTCACTCTTCCTGAGTAGTGTCTCCAGCTCGTGAACCCTTTCGTCAGGTGTATTGCGAATCCTTTCTTCTCTGAAGCTTTGTGGAGGTGCGGACTGAACGACAGACACATTCGCCACGGCAGACTGCATACTGTTACCCATCTCCTGAAGCTGGATTTGAAGCTCTTTTACGCGATTACGATTAATTTCGTTGGCACTTTTATGAGCCTCCACCTCTTTTCTCAAGGACGTAACTGTCTCCTCCAGAGTAGAGACCTTACGTTTGAGTGCGTTAAGCTGTGAATCTTTGTCTTTCACATCTGCCTCTAAACGGCTTATGATGCGGTCTTTCTCCTTTATCTTGTTACGAGACTGTTCAAGCTCTGGTTTCATTTTCCGTAGTTTGTTTTCCAATTCATCAACTTGACTTTGTAAATCATTCCTTTGCTTGATCAACGCCTTGTTGTTTGCCTCAGCGATGTTCAACTTGTACGTCAACGACTCAACATCTTGTTGAAGCAGCTCTTTTGCATCAATCTCCTCACGTAGATCTTTTTGTAAGTCGTCAATCTTGCGTTTCTGCACTTTATTACGGCTATCTATTTCTTTGTTTTCAGCGCATAGTGTCTCATTTCTTGCTAATTGCGCCCTTAGTTCAGGCCTCAAGTTCTCTAGTTCTTCCTCCAGGTCCTTGCATTTTTTGCTCAATGAGTCTAAAGAAGCTTCGTGCTTCTTCACAGCCTTTCCAAGGGTGGAGTTGACTTTGATCTGTTCTGATAAATCAAGGTGTTTGTTGTTGTAGTCTGCTTTGCTTTGAGTGAGTTTCGTGTTCGATTGACTAAGGTATTCCCTCAGATTGTCGCGTTCAAGAGTTAGGGTTTCCACCTTCTTCGACAACTTCTCGACTTGTGGGGCCAAGTCCTCCAGTTGCTCTCTCAAGTCCGTATTGGTGTCCATAAGCTCATCTTCTTCTTTCTCCAAAGCGTTGATTTTGTTCCTCATGTCTGCTGCTTTTTTCTCCCAGTCTTCGTTTTCTGCCCTTAGAGAGTTCAGCTCTCTCTGCAATGAGGCGATCATGTTTTCAAGGCCTTTGTTGTCGCTGTTAAGGTGTTCTTCAACGTTTTGCAACCTCTTATTTTCATTTTCAAGCTCGTAGATCCTTTGACGAAGAGCTGTTAAGTTATTTTCGAAGTCTTGCGGCTGGTTCATTGTGTATGTCACTTCGACTGGTTTGAACACATCCTCGCCACCTGCCCGTTTTGGCTCCATATGCTGCAACTTCTCAAGAACGCCAGCAAGTTCAACTTCAGCATTATCCCTTTCCTTAGTTACCTTTTCTAACTGAGCCTCAAGCTTGCCGATTTCGTTGTCTTTGCTGTCCATCTTTTTATTCAAATGCTTCATTTCATCATCTTTATAGTCGCTGTCGGCGCGAGCACTGGAGAGGTCTGCCAGACAGTTCTCGTACTGTGACTTTAGTTCGGTCAGTTTGCTGTTAAGCACGTCAATCTGGTTGTTCTTCTGAACCAAATCTTTTTTGTACTGCCCTTCCTCTTCCTGAGCTTGAGCAAGCTTCTTCCTCATATTATCAGCAACCTTGCGATGCTTGCTGCTTTGGTTGGACCAGTCTTGAACTTGGGACTCAAACACTACTTTGTCCTTAGAAGTAGTGTCCAAGTCGTCTTCTAATCGTAACAACCTCTGTTGGTAATCGGCGTTTTCTTTTTGCAAGCTGTTCTTTTCTTCTTCTGATTCTCTTAACTTACTCTCCAGCTCTCCAATTCTTATGGAGACGTTGTCAAGATCTCTTTCAACGGCTTCTTTCTCCTTTACATTGCATTTGTGATCGCTGTCGAGATCGGAATATTTTCTTTGCTGTTCCAAAGTGTGCTCATGGAGATTTTCCTTCTCTTTTTCCAACTGCACTATCTTTAACTCCAGCTTAGAAATGGTGACTTCTCGGTCAGCAATATCTCGTTCCAGTTGTTCAATCCGCATCCTTAGATCTTCAATGACCTTGTCTTTCTTACTCATTTCCTTTTTGTCATGATCAATGGTCCGCTCTGCCTTAGCCAGCTTGTTTTTTAGGTCATTGTACTCATTCTTCAATCGCCCATAATTTCCCTTTTCATTCTCAAGCTGAGCTGAAATCTTGTTTTTTTCTCGATTTTCGTCTTCGTACTTTGCCTCCCACTTGTTTATATCCTTAGAAGCTGCATCGAGTTTCCCCTTTAAATCGTAGTTCTCTCCTTCAAGGCGCTTGACCTTCTCATTTAAATCTTGCAATCTTTTCTTCAGCATTTCATTTTCATCTTTGAATTGATCACCGAACGAAAACATAGTAGGCGTCGACTCAAGAACAGGCTGAGATTCTACCACTGTGATGTTGTAACTTTTTTCCTCTGGTTCAGAAAGTCGCCTGTTTAATTCGTTTTCAAGATCTTTTATCTTTGCTTCATAAGCGCGTAGCTCTGCCTCCTGTTGGCTGTTCTTGTCTCGTAGTGATTTTTCTAACCTTTGCAAGTTGGACAAGGTATTTTCTGCTTTGTCGCGGGCGTCTTCGGCCATTCTGATCTCACTCTCGGCCCTAGCGAGCTTTTCGACGAGCTCGTTCTTCTCCTGGCGTAGCTTTTCATTGGTCTGTTCATCCTCGTCATGCTGGTCTTCAGCCTGATCAAGCTCTGCCGAAAGTTGGCCAGTTTTCTTCTTAAGGACCTCCAGAGCAGCTTCAGACTTGTTGACCTTCTGCTTGAGTTCCAGGATGGTGTGATTTTGAAGATCATTGATGATGTTTTCCAACTTCTCAACCTGTTTAACTTTGGTCTGAAGCTCCCCCTTGCTCGAGTCGGCCTTCTTCTGACTTTCTACTAAGACCTTCTGCAAGTCGCCGATCTTGCCGCTTTTCTCGCGGAGTTCTTTACGCAACTTCTCGTTTTGAGCATTAAGATCTTCTTTCTGAAGCGTCAGGCTATCTTTCTCTCGATTGTACTTTTCCGTGGATAATTCCAAATGTCTTTTAGTCTTGACATTTTCTTTCTGGGCTTCATGGTACTTGTTCTCGATGTCGTAGTTATATGCCTTCAGCTCTTCATACTCTCGTAACAATCTTTCGTATTCGTCAGCCCACTCATGATTGGCCTCTGTTATCAGACGGATTCCAGATTCTTCATCCTTTACCACCGTTGAAGTGACAGGATTTGAGGGCAACGTCCTCCCAGAACCTTTACGCCGAGTAGACATGGCACCTGACGTAGTTTCTTGTTTTATCGCTGAGTGGAGCCTTCCTTGACTTGCAATAAGATGAGGTCAGAAAAACTGCAATTATAAATATTGAATCATTAATACCATATTAAGTTTTTCTAGGAATCACCTTTGATGAAATATAAGTGTCGTAGTCAATGAGCTTTGTATCACTTAAACCTTTAACCTCTAATAGTGACTGGCATCTAACTTCTCCTTACAGTGTCATCCCTGAATATTCTCACAAATATAAACGTGAAACGTCGTTTGCCGTAAACGCTATGCTTAACCTCTCTAATAGATCATAGACGATGCCAAAATGTGGGTAGAAAAAAAAGTGGTTCTCGAGGCGCAGCTGAGAATGTCACTCAACACATTCTGACGTCTTTTGTGATCTACTACTGAACTGAAAACAAAAAAAAATTGTTCATGGTGACATTATCTGTACGTCTATTCTCCTGTAGACCCTTATTGTATAAAAAGTAATTAGTTACAAGACCCTTGAGGCTCTTGACGCGGGTCTTTTTAGAGTGTAAGTAATTTCTTCTTAAAGGGACGTATAGAGCACTCTGCGATTGAGTGTCTCAAAACCAAAGCAATCACAACAGCCAATCATAGCTTGGAAAATATCACCAGGAGCCAATCAGAATTCGAAGTGAAAACAAGCAGATTGCATGAAGAGCAGGAAAACGAAAAGTTACCAAGCCGCGATTGGTTTTAGTATTGAATGTGATTGGTTGGGCAAAAGTTTTATCGACCAATCAAATAATGAAATAAAACGAAGCCAATCCTGGATTATTTTCGGCTCTCAATTTAAAATTTTTCTAAATCTCAAAGCAACCGAAAGATTGTGTGGGGTAACTTTCGGGCTTATTTGTTGATACGATAAATCAAATCAAATATCAAATAGTTTCTACAGTTTTGTTGATTTTGTTTCCCATGGAAGTTGACATCTTTCCACCAAAGTATGTGTCAGAAATCTCTCTTCTCTACGCGAGACTTTCTCTACGAACTTTAAATGATTGTAATTAAATTTGAGTTAATCAAAACGACGATTTTTTTGCTCAACGCAGTAATATCTTTCACCCCTTAACTCTTAGGCGATTAACAGGTAACTTCTCCCCATAATATCCTCACATAATACAGCAAACAGGTAATGAGAATACTCAAACTTATCAGGTAGGGGTTGTAATTTTGATCTACCACCAAATTCGCGTAACTAACTTATAAGGAAATGTATAGCAGCTAGAAGGGAGAATTAGCAATCAGATCTTGGGAATTAATGGTTTAAATAGCCAATCATTTTGTCCCCATTTAGATGTGCGCAAACTGTAGAGGAAGATGGGTTTGAAATTCCGTGAATTCGATTTATCGTCTTTAGGATACGATGGACCTTCGCGGGTGTTCTTCGCGGAAAAAATTATTGACGCACTGTTTGAAGGCATTCACCCTTAATTATACATCAATGGAAAGGTTATCAAATGTGTTATCTAGCAAAAACATTTTCCGCGTGAGCTTGATCTATTAATAAACCGACTGAGGCGCGACAACTCGAAACGGATGATTTTTATTTGATTAATCGGGTAACATTTATGACCGCACAGATGAAACTTCTGCACAATTTTATTTGGGAGGGATAGGTCTTCCAAATCGTGTGGGGATTTTTCAATATCGATATTGGTTGCTTTGCAATTTAAAGGAAGCTCGCAAAGTACTCGTTCAAACAAGAAACATTTTCGTGAAATCGAAGTAGTTTTTGTTGCTTCCAAAGTTTTGCCAACATTCACGCATTCCACATGACAAGCTTTTTCAGCACTCTGAAAACTAGCAATACCGAATGCCAACAGAAAGCGGAGTCTCAGGAGACTCTCAGCAAAAACATTTCAGCCCGTGACACATCCTCGTTCGATTCACTGGTGGGTAATTTCGATTTAAAGGTTTTTTTTAGTTTTAAAGAGGCTTAATCACGCTGCGTCCAACTCATTAATATGCGAACATCGAAGATTGACAAAACAACGTGCCCTAATCCGTTTCTGTAAGATTTTTTAGCCAGCCCTTGTCGAATTCCTTTTGCTTACAGCCAGACTATTTTGTCTTTGACATTTTTTACTCCTCTCATTTACATATTTTCCCTTTCACTGTCTGGTTTCACGCGCAGACAGATAGCAAAGATCAACCTCGTGCAACTGATATCAGCTGTTTACGTGATTTAAATTCAAGAACTAGGATATTTACCGCGAAAAATAATTCGGGAATCAGTTATGGTGATATGTTATAATTAGCTATTCCCACCTTAGCGGGCGAAATAATTCAGTTTGAAATTGCGTTTTTGTAATAACTTACGCTCGTTTTAATATTTTATAAAACTTTTTCTTGGTAACTGTAGTTCAAATAGCGATGCTAAGTTTTCTACGAAGAAAAAAACATTCGGACCCATCGGCCCTTAAAAGTCTTTCCTATGTTGTCTTTATACTGCTTTTCGTCGTGTGGTGCTTTGTTTTGCTTTTCAATCCTTAGCTTGTCCACCCGATTCTGTCCTGCGATCGTGCCAAAGAGCGGGAATAAAAGAGCGTGGTTTGTGAAATTCTTCGAGGACGAGCGATCTTGATCTCTCGCAAATATTGTTCCTTTTGCGTTTTTAAAGCTAAATGTGCGTGTTTTTTCCCTTCTTTTGTTTTGAATTATTTTTCTCTGTTTTTTATTTCCTACGATGACGGCAAATGCTTTTCCTCTGTAGAATTGCAGTTTTCCATCTGTTTTCGGGAGGCAAGTTTGGATATGGCACTCTTATAAATTGTATTATCAATAACTTACAACCAATAATACACGGTACACTCGGATCCTTTTGAAAAGTTCGTGTTATTCTACCGCTACATGCTCTGATGAGTAAGTCTGATTGTTTAGGTTAATTTGCAAAAATTAAACGATTCAGTGACCACACAGAGCGGCGAGTAACTATTTCCACGTCAGCTGATTACAGAGTAGGTTAATGATGTAAATTCTTTGCAGAATAATGAAAGGAACGGCGTGAAATGTGTTCAAAAAGTTTTGCGTGAAGTTATCTTTCTTGATCTCATTTACGCTCTTTGTTAGTTCAACGAGCTCTTGTGGATTCTGCGATTTTTATACGAGCTTGCGTGCGTGTTTTCATAATTCTATACGTCGATTTGCACACATCGCAATTGTTTGTTGTTTATTGGAACGTAGAAATGTTAGAAAAAAAGGGATGCTTTAAGATTGCATCTGATGTCACGTCCACGGGCAATCCATTGTGGCTAAAGCTAGGATTCCATTTCGCAATCGTGTCTAAAGGCGTGAATGTGAGAGTGCAATAAATGAAGTTGAATTTGGTGGAGACTTGATTTCATAAGCGACGACAGCATAGAAATTTTTTTCTCGAATTTCAAAGCTATTCTCGCTATTTTAGGCAGAAGAATTTTAATCGTCGATGCCGCATTGATCAAAAATACCGCTGAATTCGTATTTTTCACTCATTGCATTGTTGGCTTTGAGCCATCAGATTTTAGAAATACCTTAACACCTATTACAGCGTCATTAGATCGAGTTGGACGATGGAACAAAGATCATGACACGAACTCACGAATTTTCGCCTCTGTTGTGCGGACTTAGTTATATTGTCGGTCTATGCTTTCGTATTTCATGGTTAGATTGGCTAGAAATTTGCGTGATTTTGCCTTCTGCTAGGCGAAAGATCTCGAGTTTCTTATAAAGTGTTAAGGAAATTAAACCACTTGTTTTCCTTCTTTTGTACTTGTCTCAGCGGAAATCTAACTGGAATTGTAGGGAGGAGCTACTGACAGAATTGCCTCGTTATGCAGAAAGTAGCTAAATTTTTCACCCGAAAAAAAAAGCAAAACAGCGCGTCTCCCTGATAGATAATGCTCTTTGGAAACGTTTGTCGAGCTCAGGAAGGTTACAAGTTCAAACAAATTACGAGTGTTCGCCAAACAACTTTAATGAAAGGATTGAATAAGAACTCATTTGCCTGCAGCGGTAATCGTTACCATTATAATAAAGATACTTCGAACTTGCATTTGCATACACTCTTGAGCTTTTTCATCGAAAAATCACGCCACGCGCACGATTTTATCGAGAAGTTTAGGTGAAAATGGCAGCTGTGGGAAAAAAGCACTCAGCCAACAGATTTTACAAAGTTTTCAGACTTTAAGATGGAAAGCAATTACATATGCATGATGTGTTTGGCATTATTCGACCATGAAACCACCGAATTTCAACGAAAAAATTCTATCTTTATTTCGATAATACTGTTTGTTTAGTCTGGCTCGACGAATTTATTCGGCTGAAGAGGAAAAGGTATCGGTTGTGTCAAAAACAGGTACACTTAACTTAGGTTTTCTCTCACGTAAACAGAATGAGTGTCATTGTCCTTTGTACAATAGAAACTTTCATAATTACAGAAGTTATCAACAGCTATCCTGAGAAAATTTTCAAAAACTATTACCTTACTCCTTGCAAAAACATTTTAAGTGTATACGTCTCGGAATTAAACACGATAGTTCTTGGGATATCTTCGAAGTTCATTGTTCCAAAGCGAGATTCCTTCGAGAAGTTTTGATCAATTATTGCGTTACATTCTTTGTGATAGGAAAATGATAAGACTTCAAAACACCTCATTGAGAAGTTTCTAGTGCTGCAAGTGACTTAAATTGCAATGCTATTCAGAGGCAACTTCTAGCTTAAGGTCTCAGACTGAAGGATCTTCTTGTTAGCCGATCGATTACTTTAATAAACACTGGAGGTTTTCACGATACTTGAAAATTTGATTAAGTAAGCACTGTGGTTTTTACGTGATCTCACGCCCTGCAGAAATATTGAACTTTTTATCGGACTTGTCGTGGTTTTCGCACATCAGGACTGAATGCGCTTGTAAACTTTGATTGTAAGAATGTGCTAACATCTTTGATAAGTAAATAGACCGCTTAAAAGGAATCCTACCACCCTGCTGGGAGAATGTAAGA